TCTTCTCAATCCAGAGATGTCTGTGACCTGCTCATAGATCTTTTGAGATTTGTTTCTATGAGGAATTTTTTTTAAAAGGGAGAAATTATGAAAGTACAGGATGGTAAATACTGATTATTTGTTCCAGCAAATTTTCCATGCCAAAGGTCAGATGGACATCCAACATGTACTGGAGCACATGCTCCCATACTTGCTATTGCTTAACAGACCACAAAAATTGAGAGTTCAATAGTCCCAAAATTCCTGCCTAGGAAGACACATCTCTGTATGCTGCATTTTTCAGCACCTATCAAGGGGGGATCAATCTTTTCTTGCAAAATACCAACTTTGGGAGTGCAGTCACCTCTGTAATAGTCAGCCGTGAGGGACCCTTACCAGGATCCAAAATAACCAATCTGCTTCACAGTTACATGGTGTCTCTGGCAGAAGAGTTTCATAGAATCATAGAATCAGCTGGGTTGGAAGGGACCTCCGAGATCATCAAGTCCAACCCTTGATCCACTACCGCTGTGGTTGCTAGATCACGGCACTAAGTACCACATCCAGTCTTATCTTAAAAACCTCCAGGGACAGAGAATCCACCACCTCCCTGGGCAGCTCATTCCAATGCCTGATTACCCTCTCTGTAAAGAATTTTCTTTTAGCTTGTACAAGTCTAACCTCCTGCAAAATTTCAATTGCCTGCATTTCTCATTTCAGCCAGGGGAGGGCAACTGGTCACCAGGAAAATTAATTCAGTTTACTAAAGCTCACTTGCGCACTTTGAAGTCCTAAAACACAGAATTAGAAAAAATACTTTAGTCCTGAAAACATAACTTTTAATAAACATATCTTCCCCTAATATAAGTTAAAATACTCTCCTCTTGCTCCACAAGCTTCAGCAACCACTGCACTTTTATTGCTGTTCACTCTAACCATTATTTTTTCTATATAATTAATCTGCTAATAAAATACAGCTTGGGGTAATGAAAAGAGGATTCTGCTTATGGTGCCATGAATATACTTCTGTCAAATTAGACTTGACAAAAACTGTAATTCTTAATTGTGCTTTGCATTCTTTCTATTTTATACTGTACTATCAAACCAACAATAACCATGAACTCTAAGTTCTTAGGTCATTTTTTTTTAACTTGGAGTTGAAAAAGAAAAAAATACAGTAATTATTTGCTTTATTTTTTTTCAAAGTTAGGCAGTTTGTATTGATAATTACAGCACTCATCACTGCATCACCCTCAGTGTTTTGCCCCAATCAACAGAGAAATCCTTCCTCTCTTACAGTCACAGTAATGTGTGGCCAAATCAAAGGTTTTTTTAAGGGAAATAAGGAAATAAATATGCAAACATTATAAGTCCATGTGTCTTCCTGTTTCTCTGTTCTTCCTAATGCCAAGGACTAATTTCCTCCTTCTGGTACATGCAACACTGGGCAGCAACCTTTGCCAGCTGAACCTCAGACCTTCTATTCTCAGAGACCCCATAAAACCAGAGAAAAGCAGTTTTGTCCCTTTCACTTTGCAGCTTGCTGCCAAACAACCCTGAGACCTCCTATCCCAGCTTCACAGAGAGACATGAAGTGCTGCCTGTACATAAAATGGTGGGAACTTTCTTGCTTGTATCCCATTGCTTCAGGATGGCCCCTACCCATCAGACATGGGTTTACCAACAGAGAATGAGAGGGCCATAGCTCCCTCCATCATTATCAGCCATCCATATTTACTAGCCACCCATGCTGTACCTGTGTTTTTCGTTGCAAAGCAGTGGGGACTGTGCAGCTTCTCACAACCCAGAGCAAGGCTGCAAACAACTATAAAGGCACAGCACAACCAGCTCTGTGCAGGGCATTAGTATTCTCCTGTCCCTGAGGAAACAGACCTTGTGTACAAATGAATTGGGACCTCTACCAGGCTGCATCTCAGGGACTTGGACTGCATGCAGACTTCCCTTGTTTACCCACAGAATAGGCCATGACTTGATTGGGTAAAGAGATTAATTCCTCCTGAAAAGAAAGTATTTGTTTGACCGGGAATGGTTGCTGTATTTGCAATGAAGATGCCCCAAGGCAAAAACAGATTGCTTGGCTGAATGACCCTTTGCTGGTCTCTGGCTGCCATTAAAGTGAATTTGGTTTTCAGCCTCACGGGCCACATAACGATGGGTTTCTCTAGCCTAGGGTTTTCTTACAAGCACTTTTGTCTAATCACTAGCTGAGAATCCAGTCTAATGTGTACATTGTAAAAGATGCTGTTTATACTTGGGCTTTTAGTCTGCCATCTGTGCACAGCTTAGCTGCAACATCTCAGTAGATCTGTTTCTCCTCTGCTGCCAAGTCCCTGTTGCAAGCCTTCTGAAGAGCATGATTCACGTCAGACCTTCTAATAAAACTCAGGCACTTTGGAAGCTCTCTTTTAAAACCTATCCCCTGCTCTGAGCAAATGCAGTGGTATAGACTTAATGCTTTTTCTACAGACTCACTGATTCATATCTGAGTGGCACTCAAGCATAACTAGTTATACATACAATCACTGATGCATATATATTTCCACGCTGCCCTTGCTAGCATGTATCCTGTTCTCAAAGACATTGACACAAATGCATTTGGGCACCAGAGCTGCTGGCACGATCCATTTGCACTGTACCTTGCAATCACTTCTAAGTTTAAACCCATTTTCTTTAACAAACAGCCTTCACACTAATCCACCAGGGAAATATTTTAAGCCCAGGCTTTCTTCCTCAAAGTAGGACACTTTTTGTAGGAATCAGAAACAAGCTACATGCCTAGTACCTGTAGGCTTGGATATGGTGCAAAGATGAGAAAGACTAAATATAAGAACAGGCAGATGCTACTTCACCTGTCCCATAGAGCCTTGTGTCTTTATAGGTAAGCATTCTGGCTTACAGAGTACAGGCATAAGCCTGAGCTAATGTTTAAATTAAAGACAAAGACTATTACAGAGAGAGAAAGGATAAAGAAAAATGGGTTTGATATTATGTTTGAGAGTATGACTGTTTTTAATGAAGGTTAATTGTGCTTGAAAAGAGATGTTGGACTGTTGCTGATATCCAGAGAGACACGTAGTCCCCAAGACTGGTTGTAAATGAGTTTTCAGATATCACCCCAAATAATTCTTATGCAAAATTTGTTCTTGTCTTAGGCGCTAGCAGCTGACCTTACAAGTTTTTTGGTAAGAGCAAGAAGTCTTAGCAAAGTTAAGTTTATTAGCCAGTTTGCAGGCCATGGACAGCCTAGTATTGCTGTGGACAGCTGCAGAAACATAGTGGTGAGACCACACCCACAAAAGCCTCTTTGCAGAGAAAGTCATTTCACTTCCACCTTATCATCCCTCTTCTGCAGCACTTGCATTTGAATCACCCCTCCCCAGCTGAGCCCTCATGCCAGCTGATCCGTCTGCAGTTACCTGCTGGTGGTACAGAGGAGGACATGGAGCCCAGGGCACTCAATGCAACGTGTGTGGCACTCAGCAAGTGACACCTGCTCTCCAGGTACAGCCTCCTTCCATGGTCTCTCCTGCCTCATGCTATCCAACATCCATGAAAGAGGACTTGTTATGTGGCCTGTCTTCACCAACTACATGACCTCATGCTCATCCTGACAACAAAAGTAAGATGTCTGCAGGATAATATACAAGCTAGTGGGAAGGCTATTGAGTGTCATGGCTGAAAAAGGGAAAAATGATATGTTTAATTCTGGTACCAAGGAAAACGACTGGGATCTGCAGAGAAAGGTTTGGACTGGATGGGACTCCAAATGCAAGAATTAAAGTCAAGTAGACACAATGAATAAAGCACAGACTAGAAAAGGACCTTTTAAAATCTTTTCTTTAAAGCCTGGTGGCATAGTAAGGAATCAGCCTGCAAGCACAGAAAAATGACTGAGAGAGACTCCCTTGTAAGGAGAGAGTAAGGTAGTCATTGTACACCTCTCTCAGTAAAAAGGGAAAACTGGTTTTTGCTGCCCCCAGGAACAAGGACTGGGGCCTTGAGCTGCAGGAGTTCGCTGGTCCTCCTCCTGTCAGAACAGAAGCCATGAAAGTGAGGAATGTTGCTCCTCAGAAGGGTGAGGGACATCCTGACCTTCCCTTATTTTAGGATTGGCTCGATGGATTTGTTTTCAGTATCTCTGATATGAGGATTTAAAGATGATCACATTGTTGTTACTATTAGATTGCCTTATCACTTCTATTTTTATTTGTGTTCTGCCAGCAGAGGCATGATCCCATTGGGCTAATTATGCCACGTGCCAAGAACAAAGAGCTGTTGGTGTAAGCTCGCTGCCCACTGCACAAAACGGGGAAGCCCATTGAAACAATGCAATGACACCGGTCAGCAGAGCAAACAGCAGCCACAGCATGTGAGCACTTCACCGTCGTCAGTGCTGGAGGCACTGGGGCAAACAAGAGCTTAACGGGGTTTGGAGGGGGAACAATGCTCAGCTCTGCTGACGTTTACAAGCTTCACTGGGGCAGCGAAATTGCCCGTTGGAAAAATCTTTCGGTGGATCACCAGGCTTGCTTTCACCGGGCAGGGAGCCACAGTACGCCTCTCTCTCAGGATCAGACAAACTGTGAGTGCCCTTACACTTTAATGCGGGGGGATGGGGGGGTGTGGTGTGTGTGTGTGTGCACCTACTTGACAAGCCACACAGGGAGAGGTGGGTAACACGGCAAGAGCAGCGAGGCGGGGCAAAGGGCCCCAGCGCAGAGCCTGGCCACCTGCCTGAGCGGAGCAAGGTAACTTGGCCACAGCGGGAGAGGAGGAGGCAGCGGCCGAGGCCTCACAGGTGGGCAGTGGAAAACGTGTCACTCGCTCTGAGGAGCGAGCACAAAGGGGCCCGCAGCGGGCAGTGCCCCTGGCAGGCTGGCGGGCGGAGAAACGCCGCGCAGCACCGCACGGCCGCAGGCGCGGCAGCTCCGCCGGGAGAGGCGCTGGCTCCCCGCAGCACCTCAGCGGGGGCAGGGCGGGGGGCGGTGGCCCGCCCCGGGGCCGGCTCAGAGCAGCCGCCGGCTCCGCCCCGCGGGGCCACATCGGCGGTGGGAAGGAGGGCAGCCGTGCCGAGCGGAGCCGAGCCGGGGAGGTAAGTACGCTGCAGCCGCCCGCCCTGAGGGGTCGGGGAACGGGGCGGCACCGGAGGAGAGGGCGTGTGCCGGGATTCCCTCCACTGTGGCCGGGGACCCCGCTAGCCCTCGACTCGGGGATCTCGGCGTGGAGGGTCGGGGGCTGTGCCCGGCGGGGACTTCACGGGGGTTTTCGGCGGAGCTTTCTTTTTCGGCCGGGCGCGGGCCTCCGCTGTGTCCCTGCAGTCCCGCTCGGGGGGCGGCAGCCGGGCGGGCGGCCCCCCTGCGCTCCGGGCAGCCCTGCTCCCGCTCCCCCTCTCCGGGCGGGGGTTCCGCGCCAGGGCCGGCGGAGCCTCTCGGGGCACCGGTCCCCCCTGCTCGCCGCTCTCGAGCGTGTCCCTCCAAACTTGAGTCGGTGGGCGAGCTGTCCTCTGGCGCAGCTGGTGTGTGGCCTGAAAGAAACCATCGCCAGGTGCAGCGGATCCGGTGTCCTGTGGGCCCGGCCGGTTGCTGCTGTGAAGGAATTTCGGCCGAGTGCCTCCGCTGCCTGCTGATGAGACTGGGCGTGCGGGGGCTTCAGTCTGCTCTGTCTTGTTTGATTTCTAGGATGTGGGTTAGGTGCCTCTGTAGCGATTTTACTCTATTACGACTATGGAAATCTGGTGCTGGCCCAGCTTAACGTGTCCCTCCCCCCCCGCCTTCCTTTTAAGATCCTAGTGAGAAGTTCAGCGTAGTTCAGCTTGAGGTTCAGTAGCTGAGTAGATGTTGGCTGTGAATTGCCTTTGCAGTGGGACTGTTAACAAGCCGCTATCCTCGTATCAACAGATTTGTTACAATCCAGGTGTGCTGGTTCAGCCCCAGCGCATAAAAGCTCTGCTGTGTATGCTTTAATGTAAAATGGAGCACTTGGTACCAAAAAAAAAAAAAAAGATGGGGGGGGAAATAAAACCAGACAACCAGACCTAACCATCCTGGAATCTAAATGTTGGCTTCAGTAAACTGTAGAGCTGGTTTAGAATGAAATGTTCCCATGTCTTGGACAAACTCTAGTCTTGTGTATGAGAAGAAAGCTTGAAACTTTCCTAGCTGTGCAAGAGATGAACAGTGTCCTATTGCAGTGCTCTCAGAGGTAGTGGCTGGTGGGGAGAGCAGCTCTTGGAGATGTTTGAGCTGCTGTTGACAGTAGAGGATCACAGGGGTGTAACCCATCCCAATGCTAGTGAGGCCTCTTGATGTGTGACTTCTGCCAACTCCTGTGTGCTTCTGTGCAAGCGAGGGTGTACAGCTGGAGAGTGCTGTCTCGAAATCTGCCATCAGTGATACTTCCTCTCAACGGAAGACTTTTTTTTTGTGTTATTTTCTCAGATACCATGGGCTTGAGAAAAATCCTCATCAAAGCCTGAGATGTGAGCTTGCTGCTGTGAAGCTTGCTCGCTGCATGAGAACCATCAAGCAGAAGCCTGTGACTGGAATCCTTTTCGTGGACCGCAAGGTCCAAGTGTAGAAACACGGCTCTGAAAATCTAGAGGGAGGTGTCTAGTGAGAGGAGCAGTCTCAGGAATGTACTGCTATATGCTGATGTCAAGATAAGCATATGACAAGCTGTACAAATGACAAATTACTCAGATCTTACTGAATACTTCATAAGCGCTAAGTGGGAAGAAAGTGTTAAGGAGGCAGGTCACTGGTGGTGTGGTCAGTGACCTGTTCTGCAGTGTCACTGCATGGGTGGTGAAAGACCTGCCAGTGTCCCATAGCAGAACCTCGTATAACAGTGGGGTGGCTTTTAACAGTCACACTTGTTTCTAGTCCTTTTGCTGGAGCAAGAACTCCCACAGCTACAGATGTACTTAAAAAAAAAAATCCAGGGGTGCTTGCTCATGTTGGACTGCCACACAGGTGAAAAGAACCTTTGCCAACTGCTCTGCAAGCTGATGTGTGGATTTCGAGTGGCTCAGGGAAATGAGTAGCCTCACTCCTATCATCCTTTCATTTAACATCTTTCGTAGAGGGATCTTTCTTCCAAAATAGCTTCACTCTTTGGAGCCTCTGTGAAGCTGAACCCCTCTTGGCCTGGGCTTCTCTATCATAGCCAAGGGCTGTGGGGACTGCTAAGATGACATCCTCAAACCCTGTGCTGCAGGGCAGGCGTAGTTGGTGAAGTCTTGCAGTGTTTGTTCAGCTTCTTACCTGTGTGTGACAGAAATAGAGCAAGATGCAAGCTGAGTGCCTGGAGAAAGCCCTCCCTGTGGGCTGCATGGAAGCTCCTCCCTTAAGAGGATTTAGCTTTAATGATGCAGCTCATCTGGACTCTCTTCATTACTGTTATTGTCTCTATTTTAGTTCTCGGAGGACAGGCAGGTGTTGTGTGACCTACAACTGTAGGCTGGTACAGAAGGTCCTCTAACAAGGCCTTTCCACAGCTCCATGGAGGTTTCTTTCCCCTGCTACTCAAACCACTCTGCTTCCAGCTCTGTGAAGTGCAAGGTGGGGGGTTGTATGAAATTCCTCATCTGACTGTAGCCGAGGAAAGGTTTTATCCCTCGGTTTTATCCCTCTCCTGTTACTCCGTGTCCTACTGCTGTAAGTCAGGAGAGGTCCATCCAGGACTGCAGGTGTTCATCCAGTAGATGTTTAAATCAGAGAAGTGCAGGTGGGAGTTTTGCAGACCTCTGGTAATCACAGGCCCTGAGACACTTTCCAGCTCAAACCATGGCTGTGGTTCTTGGTGCCTGCTGGCATTGTTACAGCAGGAAGCACACAGCACAGCAAAAGGCGTTGCTACAAGGACCTTGGACACCGAAGGCATGGGGTCTGTCACAGGCATGCCAGGGTGATGCTGGGAGGTGGACCATGCCCATGCTATCTAAAGTAGTAATTATTGGTCCACTTTAATGGTGTCTTAAAGTGGTGTGGCAGCCACTTTCTTCCTGGTCTCTTTTCTGTTTCTATTCACTGGTGAATGGAGGTGCTAGAGGGGGTCTGTCAGGGCTCAGGCTATGGCTGAGTGGCTTTGAAGGCTGGAGGAGGTAGTAATGTTTTCAGTGGTTCTGTGCAACAAGGATGATCAGAGCGTCAATTCTTGCACTTCTTCCTCAGTTTCCTGTGTAGAAAAACTTTTGTGCATTAAAACTAACTTCTTACTGCCAGGAATTATGGCCCTCATGCTAGAGTTCCTTAAATTCACCTCTCTAAAATAGGAACATGACATCTGCATCCCCTTATTCTCCTTCCCTGCCTTCATTTACCTCTGAATGTGGATCACAGTGTCCTGAAATCTGGAGTCCTTCTGTACAGCAGAGGGGGAGCTGGGCCCAGCAGCCTTGCTTTCACCGTGTGCTTGTCAGCTTTGACGGGTAAAGAAATAAACTGTACTCTTGCACTGATGCATCTGTTGGAGGAATGTGGGATTGGAGCTTTCCACAGGCAAATGATTAATGACACGTGCGTGAAGGGATGGCTGGGTGAGCCACCTTTCCTTTAGGAACTGTATAATAAGACTCAATCCATTACCTAACCACCTCTGCCTCTTCTTGGCTGCTCTGTGTTCTTAGATGGAATGAAATGGAGGAAAGGCTAAAAATTACAGGCTCTCTTGGCATGGTGAAAGGAATAATACAGGAGGCACAGCCAGTGCCAGCAGTTCCTTGAGGGCTGGTTGGCTGTGGCAGAGCCTGTTTGCTGAAACCTCTCTTGGGCTGTCAGGGCTTGGAAACACTGAAACAGTTAACAGCTGACTGGAACCTAGGCAGGGTGATAAGTGAAGCACAAGGAACTGTGTACTGGAGATTGCTTAAATCATTGCTTGTGAGCACTGACAGATTCAGAGCTAGCTAATTTTCTGGGAGAAAGATGAGGCGTTACCGTGGGCAGCTCTGTGAAAGGGACTGCCTTGTAGATGACAGCAGAAAAAGGGAATAAAAGAGTAGCCTGTTGGGATGGGGACAAGGATTGGAGACTGTTGGCTCAGTACCCAAGTGTGTGTCTTCTCTAACACCACAGAGCCGGGGAAGCTGGGTGGTTTGTGGCTCATCCAAAGTAAATACAGGGGAGAAAGGGAAGGAGACTAAGCTGAGGGCAGGCTTTCTCCTGTGTGTAGAGGCACGTGCACCAGCTGTCTGGCTGACTGCTCTAGTTCTTTGTCTCCTTGATGGAGCTTCAGAACTGGGACGCCACCATTTAAAAGCAAGTCAAACCAAAGACTGGTGCATGTACTTAGTTTCTGAAAATTGCTGCTGAGGTAAGTGGCTTGTCTGTTTTTAAGGAAGCAGAAGCAGAGAAGGGCCAGAGGAAGGGCCTTGCACACAGGCAAAGGACGGGGGGCGTTTGTTAAGAATTTTGCTAGGCTGATGGTTTAGTTTCTTTGCAGCACAGCCTTGAGCAAACAGGTGCATCTCAAAAGTGCTTTACCCTTTATTGCAAAATTGTTGCTGAGCTGTAAGCAGATTGCTGATCTCTTCTAGTATGATGATAATCCCATGGCCATGTGTACTGGACAAATACTGATCTGGGAGGAGCTATATACATTAGGATGTCCAGCAGCCTGAAGATTCGAGGTTACATAATGGACAGTTCCCTTTGTGGGCAAAACAATTCTGCTTCAGTCAGAGGGAGGTCTCTCATACGCAAGCAAAGGAATGGATGAGCTGTCAGAGCAGCAGCATGTACTTTGAGCCAAGCTAACCTTCCCACAGCTGGAGATGGGAACTGCCCTTTGTCCCTGCTGCTATCCATCCATTGCCATGGAGGTGGTTTGGGAAGGGGGCAGAAGAGAAACTAGCTTACAGAGATTTGCATAGGGGGAACTGAACATGCTGTAAAGTAGCTTTACCTGTTGGGAATGAAGGGAGCTGTTTCCCAGAGGTGCCTTGGAGAAGGGGTTACATCACTGGATTGGACCATGTCCTCCACCAGCACCTTGTTTTGGTCACTGCCTCTCTGATCCATGAGGTGTCTGTGCCCTCCCCAGAATGGGTTTGAGGGGGCTACATGGGAACTTGCTGCCTTCAGGAGAGGCTTCATGC